CGGTCCTTCAAATGCCGATATAATATTACCATAACTAATCTGTTTGCCCGGTATGTTCATCACCAGCCAGTGTCGCCAATTGCGATATATGGGGTCAGCACGACTGGGCGCATCCGGGTCTACCAGTGCCAGGGTGTATAGCGCGCATTTTACTGTTGGCCACTCTACCAATGGTTGTTGGCTGGTTTGCGCTGGTGTGAGCTGAGTGCCCAAATTGACCGTTAGGTTATTTGCAAATGTGACCTAGATTGACAAAAATTGGAAGTAAATTTTTTATATTACAAAATTCTATTAAGGCATTTTAAATTTATAATAAATAAACTTAAATAATCTAATTAATATAAAAATGTTACGATATTTTATACCTTTATATTTCAATAGCTCTTCAATGGTATATTTAAAACTTTCAATGTGGTAAAAATTACAGTATTTTCTCTATTATGATAAATGCTTCACTAATACTAAAAATATGTTATTATCAAAAAAAAAGTCAAAAATTTACAATAAATTTTATTTTACCCATAAAATTCAATAATGTAATAAACTACATTACACAAGCTAAAGTAACAATACATATCACAACTTCTACTTACTTCAATGCGACCTTTGGGACTGGCATCGATCACATCGGGCACAATACCATCACCTCTAAAGGCTCGATCAGTTTCACGCTCGTCCACATATGTGTCCCATTGAGAGTGATAGAAATTACCCGACACGGGTTCCCCAAGCTTATGATCCAGAGCAAACTTGGTCATATTAAAGCCCAACCTACTAGGAATGGTATCATTTCGCACGAGACCCTCAATACGATTGGTCTGTTTGTATATTAGCGTAATATACCGGTGAAGGCCCGACCCTTTGCCCGGACCCGAGCCTATAAATCCGGCCAATATATCGCCGGCAGTTATATTAGCGTCAGGTATGTTGACAACGAGCCAGTGCTTTACGCTGCGCATAGTTGGACTGATACGGCTGGGCGCATCGGGATCAATCATGGCCAACGTGTACAGTGTGCCCGGGGTGACTGGCCATTCTACCAGGGGTTGGTCTTTTACTTGAGTTGGAGTCAGCTCGTTGCCCAGGTTGACCGTGAGATTATTAGAAAATGTGATCTAGTTTGATATAATAGTAAGTTTAATTATTGGTTATCAATGCACATGATCACTTTAGTATGTTAAAAATATTTAATATTTCAATAGCTAATTATAGTTAATACTTAATTATTACCTTGTTCGTGGTTAACGGACACGCATTGAGCACATCTGGCACTATATGATCATTTTGAAATGCTATAACCGAACAAACTAGATAGTTTAAAATAGGAGAAAGCATTGTGGTATTTTTTACGATAATTAATTCTTATTAAAAAAATTAATAATGGGTTAAAAACAATAACATGATCAGTTTTTATATTTGCTTAAAATTTGTGCACTATTGTGTACTAGATTTGAACTAACCAAGGGTGACCTGTTTTCACTAAACACAATTGGCACTGTAATCTACAGTAATAATATGCACATCTGTGCTTTTATCGTGAGCTTAAGTAAATTGTATAAGCACAAATAATTGTTAAAATCATTTACTATTTTATAGATACAAATATTACTGTCTTATCATGTTGCACAAAAATTAATTTTGATTATTATAATAACTACTATAATATAGTGAATGTAGTTTATAAATAAACCAGTGTCTTTTGCATGATTAATTTTTACATTAATGCCCACATTAATTTTTATACAGTATAACAAATTGTATATATAATTGTAGTAAAAGTTAAAATTATATTACGCTAATTTATGGTGAAAACTCACTTGTCAATGAAATAGTACTGTACAGTATAAAGAATCTAATATAAAACTAATCAGTTTTTTATTTTAAAATAAGATTTTATTGTGAATTAGTTGTTATTATTTGTTTTCATTTATTTTTATAATAAACAATTTACTAAATAATATTTTACATTAACACATATATAATTTTATATTTATTGACTATAAAATATTATTATTAAAATTAATAATGTGGTTTAATAAGGTATTGATATACACGGTTTTGTGACAAAGGAATATGATTAGAATGACAAGTTTGACATTAGGACATTTTGTTATAGTATTATTAGTGTACTTTAATATAGAAAAATATATTTTAATAATTAATCAGTTTATAAAACAGATCAATTGCCTGTATGTAAGATATAATTCACATAATTTAATATCAAAATAAATGAGAGAGAGAGAGAGTTTTGTAAATTTACCTTTGTAAAGTTACAAAAAAAATTGTCACAAACATTGAAAGAAATGACATGTTATAATACGTGATATACACGTGTTATTATGCAATATACTAACAAATACAACTAAATTAAATATATTAATGAAATAAAGTATTTGAAATCTGTCATAAGTCATAAGATAATATTTGATTGCTATAACTCAATAGCTATTTTAATAAATCAGATATACAGAGTGTACCTTAAATTCCTGTGTAACCCCTGTCCTAATTAATTTGTTTCTTATTTCATGTCTTTTAGGGACTATTGCATAAAGTTTTAGCTAAATTTTATGGTATATAAATTTTTTATATAAATTAAATTTTTAATGTAATAAATATTTATAACGAGTTTGTAACATTTTATAATTAACACAATTTTTATCCTATTAAAATTAACATGAATAGATATTTAGTATTCTTTTATGGCACTTTTAAAAAAGGTTTATAAAAAAATATTTGCAAATTAAAATAACCATTTATTTTAACCACGGTGAAAATGTGCAGGTCAACCCAATCATCATTTTATGGCCAACGATATAGCGAATGGACGGTGCGATTACTTGTGCGGCGGCCATACAGTAGACAAATGGCCATTAATTATAGCATCAAAGTACAACATTCCGTGTTTGTTATATAAACAGGGATATGGCAAAGTAAGCATGGTATTTTGTTTACAATTCTTTATTAAAAAATTTTAATTATTTCTTTAAGCCAATGACGACCCATAAAAATAATTTAACATACGCAAATTATTATATTATTAGCCCAATCATGATATAATTACAGTTTTAAACTCCCAATAATTTAAAACTTTACAATAATTTATATAAATATTAATGTAGTATTTGACCATAATTCATTATAATTTAGTAGAAATTGAGCTCATTTCATATAATAATCATTATATAAATTAATTTAATAAGTATATTTAATAAGTAATTTTATAATTATATATTGGTTTAGCAAGTTTTTGGGGAACTATATTCGCTGGATACGAGTTTACTCGAATTTTTAGACTATGCCGAATCCAAAGTAATTTTATATAAACGTATGGAAACACAAATTGTTCGGTCTGATAATGGGACAATATGCAAGGCTTGGGTTTATTTCATCATGGACTTTAAGCCCGAGCTATTGGATCATGATACTTTTGACAGTTATGATACCTATGGCAATCATGGGTTACCATTTGACGAAGCACATGATCCTGAACGTGATAAATATGATCCAAACACTGATATTGTTAGTAATTTAATTATTAATGGTAACTGACCATGATGCGTATTAATTAAATTACAAATGGATTATTTAAATTTTAATAGCAAGAATTATTAATATAATATAATAATATATGAATTAAATGCACGTTGTTTATAATAAAATTTACGTATTAAAACATTGCTTTTATAAATTGTTTATTTTAGATAATTTATTATCGGTGATTAAACAAAAGAAATATTTTATAAATATTTATATAATTTAGCATTACAAAATAAATTATATTTCCCTAAAACATCCCTAAAATAAATAATATATTTTAAATCATGTGTTAGTTAAAACAATTGCAGCAAATAACTGATGGTTAAAATGATACTAAAACTATTTGTAAACAAATAATTCAATTGTTAAGGACAATTGTTACCTATGAAAATGTTTTGATTTTAAATAGTCAAATGCAATACAATAAACATTTTATGATGAGATATGATGATAGTCAATAATTAAATACCTCATTCATTAGTCTACGTTTATAATTGTTTATCACTTTTTGCAGCACAAATTATTAGTGTTAATGATAATAAAATTATAACAACTAATTTTTACTATAATGCTTTCAGAAAATTGCTAATATTATATGCGTACAAATGGTAAAATATTTCATAAGTAACTTACTAAATTATTTTATATTATTAATTGCTAAAAATTAGATGTGGTAAAATTTTTCCATATATAAATACTCCACTCATTAAATAATAATTAGTTGTATTTGTAACATTAATGTTTTAATGTAAAGAGAGTGCAAAACAAAGTTATTTTATTAAATCGTTTCAGTTTTTACTGTTATATTTACTTTTAGTTAAAAATTGTTGTCAATAAACTTAATATTAATTAATTTTAAAGTAAAATTTGAATATTAAAAAATTTATTTAATTTTTAAAATAAAATGATTGAAAAATCAGAGAGATTTTTAGTGTTTGTTTACGGAACTTTGAAACCAGGTAAATATTTATTTTATTTTTTACTTATTATATTTTACAAGTATATAAATGGCATTTCTATATATTTCAGGTCAACCAAATCACTATATTTTAAAGGATCCGGCTTATGGAGTGGCTGAATGGGTTTGTACAGCCGAAACTAAAGATAAATGGCCCTTGGTAATCGCATCAAAATATAATGTGCCATATCTTTTGCATAAAAAACATTGTGGAAAGGTAATATGTAGTTTATAATTATTTTAAAATGTTACTAATTAAATATATATTAAACATAAAATAATCGGGATATTAAAATATTAATTTTTAATGAATTTTTTAATAAATTTATATAAAGGTCATGTACACTGTGTTTTTGTTATCTAGATTAGCGCATAACTTACTTAGTTTAATATAATACGAGGTAATTAAAAGTACTTAACGTGCCAATTAATTAAGTAATTATTAAATAATAACTGTAATCAGGAACTGTTAAATCTAGCTATCGATAAACAGCTCATAAGTATTTGCCTCCGACTTTACGCCACTTAAGATTATCATCAGTTGATCATGAGTTAAAGGTTTTAAACATAAGTGTTACGTGAATTCGAGAGAGTAAGTGCGAGAGAGAGAGAGAATAAACTATGACAAAGTTTACAATTAAACATGTAACATTTATAACAAATATTTCTACATTTTAAATAAATATCAGCGCATTATCGGTGAGATATATTCAGTTGACCAACAAATGCGGGACAAAATGGACGACTTTGAGGGACACCCAAAATTTTACCGACGCCTGGAGGTACAGGTGCTGACGGCCGACGGCACGTCTATCAAGGCCTGGGCTTATTTTCTCAATGAGTTTAAGCCACAACTACTAGAGCTCGAGACTTACGACGTGTACAACACTTATGGCGATCACGGCTTACGTTATGTCGAGGGCTGTGAACGTAATGATCCCGAGGCGGAGATTAACGCACTCATAGCTGAAATTAAATTGAGCAATGTCTATCGTATTAGAAATTAATTTATTTTGTTGTAGTTCATAATAATATTTTATAAGGGTAATAATAATTATTTATTTTTGGGGTTAACTTTAAATATAACCTTAAACACTTTACATGCTTTGCAATTGACGTAATACAATTGAATATGTTAAATGATAAATTGAATTACATAATATAATTGCTTATTGTGATGACACTTATTTTTTGTTATTTTAAAATCATAAATGATAATAAAATATTATAATAGATTTTACGTGTTTTAATTTATTATTGGAAATGTTAATTAATTATTGTTTATAAAAATCAATGCACAGAAATAATGTCCAGGGCATAAGTACATAGGTAATAAACATTACATGTGTTGAAGTTAAAATTGTGAAACAAAATTATGCTTAACTCGCAACTTTACCAAAACTACCTATACACTTAATTATCATGATGGGCAAAAAATTTATTTATATTTTAAATTTGGTATATTTTTAAAACAAGATTACAAACATGCTGAATTAATAAAACATTGAGTGCGTCAGAACTGTACAGTGCAATTGACCACGACGTTCGTGCACCCGTAATACACTGCGATATATGATATTAGAGTCGTTTACATACATCTGTCAATCAAGCAAGATAAAATTAATGACAATCATCATGATAACCAGTAACCGTAAAAGTATCAACGCGTTTATAATAAACATGATGAGTGACAGGCATTATTTTTAGCCAAATTACCATATTATTACATAATTATATGTTTATAAAAATAATACAATATAAGCTATATACTAGATTTAAGATATAAATAAACTTTTTGCCCTTCATGATAATTAAGTGTATAGGTAGTTTTGGTATTGCCTAGCATAGCATAATTTTTGTTTCACAATTTTAATCTGAACTCATGCAACATTTATTACTTATATAAATAGCGCAAAATTCATAAACTTTACTACTATTTAAAAACGGCAACTACAAATTATATTTTATTAAGCTAACTTAAATTTATTTGATTGTGTGAAATACATACTTCGTAATTTTACAATTATATTTTTGTGCAAAACAATGATTGATATTATCGATAGACATATTGTGTTTGTTTACGGCACACTTAAAACAGGTAAAGTTTACATTAAATATATATTTCTATAATTGTTATGATAATTAATATATTGTATTAATAAACTCACTTGTTCTAGGTCAACCAAATCACTATATATTAAAAGACCCTGATAATGGTGTCGCCGATTATATGTGTACAGCTGAAACGGCGGACAAGTGGCCACTAGTGATCGCATCCAAATATAACGTGCCATACCTTTTGTATAAAAAACATTGTGGCAGGGTAAGTTATTGACTATAAATTATTTATTGTTAACATTATGTTTGATATTGTGTAAATAAAAATACATACTTTATTTAAAAATGTAAAATATAATTAACATGTTCATATTTATTTATAACGTAGAAAATATACGGCGAATTATATTCAGTTGATCAACAAATGCGGGACAAAATGGACGACTTTGAGGGTCATCCAAGATTTTACCGACGCCTGGAGGTACAGGTGCTGACAGCCGACGGCACGTCTATCACGGCGTGGGCTTACTTTCTCATTGAGTTTAAGCCACAACTACTAGAGCTCGAGACTCACGACGTGTACAATACTTATGGCGATCACGGCTTACGTTATGTCGAGGGCTGTAAACGTAATGATCCCGAGGCAGAGATTAACGCACTGATAGCCGAAATTAAATTGAGCAAGTTGGTTTATCGACTTAGGGATAATAACGTGATAAGGAATTTATAGTAATTGTAATGTAAAGTTATCATTATATAAAATGATATGTCATTTAAAATCTAATGAAACTGATTTAAAATGAATTATTTACAATTACAATTTTACTAAATTATTTAAAATTTAATTTTATTAACGACAACATACGATTAAATCATTAATACTCATCCGGTATGTTGGGGGTTAATTTTTATAATAACGATCTTAGTTTAATTCATCTAATTTTTAAATGTTTTATATTTATTTATATAATATTATGATGATTTTATAATACTTTGTTTTATAGTACAAATACTATGAATTTATTAATATTTATTACATGTATGGTTTAGTAACATTTAAAAAAATAAACATAATGTAATTAAATAACTGGCATAATTGTGAATTTATATAAAAATAATCATTATTATTAAAGCTGTTCAGAATATGTATTTATTAACGGTCAAATATGTTATATAATATTTATTAAAAATGGCCAAATATTTACTTATATATTTACTAAAAAAGGGTCAAATATTTACTTAATATTTATTTATA